TAACGTTGCAATGCATTACTCAACATGTATTTTGTTGTTGCTGCTTCACATTTTTAATATGTTACTCTGTTATCGAACTCGTGAATACCCCTTATATGTACGTTCAAGCAAACAGTGATTACAATTATCATAATTTTTCTAAATAGGTGTTTCAGCTGATCAATTTGATTAACGTAATTTTGCATGATACAAGTTCGATCCTTAGTACTTGCAGTTTCAAAAAATTATTTAAAGATAATTATAAATAAGAAGTAACTCTAAAAGACAACTGATGATGAATATTTGGCAATACTCGAAACTGCTGTATGGACAGCCAAATATTAAATTGATTAAAATGAATAAAAAAAATTTGTTTCTGCCATTAATTGCTATTGGAAATATCGCTATTAAATGCAATTAAGTGAAACAGTCACTGTCATTATAACTGATCAATATAATACAACAAATTCAGTAAATACTTTTTTTAAAGGATGTTCAAATCAAATGTGATCGTTTATTTGTTGTTATTTATTTCTATTTATTTGACTATTCGTTTACTATTTTATAAGTAATGTAAAATTGAAATGTAAATAAATTTTTTCCTCCTTGTAAATATTAAACAGTGCTGCCTGTTTTTACTGCTGGGCAATATCTACATATTTGTATGAATTTGTTTGTAATTTTTGTGCATATTTTACTGTTATTGTTATTGAAGATATAACAACCTTGAAAAAGATAACAATTTGAAAAATATTCTCCGATCGCTGTGTGCATGTTTTCGATTTTTAATTTTTTTTTTTTTCACTAACCAATAAATTTCGAACAACAAGTAAACAAGGTTTATTATTATAAAAATGCGGACCTATGGCCTAGTAATAGAAACGGACACTTAGAAAAAACAGAGGTTAACTATGTTTACTAAAAATTGAAAGCGAAAGGATTTATTCTCTCATTTAACAATATTGGTATTTGATCTTATTTATATATATATATATGTATGTATGTAAGTACTATGATGTTTGATCAAATGTCTGTATTGATATGTATTTTCAGCTCTCTGCTTATCTCTCATCATTGCACCGATCAACCAGAAAGGTATATAAAACCGACATTCGTGTGTTGATCAATACGTTTAATGATCATTAAATTTCATTCGCTTTTAAATGCATTTATATACATGTATATGTGTATACATATATACATATGTATGCATTTGCATTTGTATAGATATATGACATTATATATGTATGTACTTCTCATATTGTTTTCCCCTTGCACTTTTACTTTCAACAATAATATTTTTATGTTATATTTTTTAATTGCTTTTTTTCACCGTTGCTGGTTTCATTATGATTCGCAGTTCTTTTTGTTGTTTTTATTTTTTTTTTTATTTTTTTTTTTATTTTTTTTATTTTATTTTTTTCCAATTGTCAAAGCAAGATTGTGGTTAAAAGACGTCACGCTTCTTATTAACTTTTCAATTAAAGTAATCAAAACAAAACCAAGAAGAAAATCAAGTGCATAAACAATGACTTTGTGAAATACGCTACTATTTCAAAATTAAAGTCAAAAACTGACGTAGGATATGTTTTTGTTGTAGATTTCGTTTATTTTATAACAAAATACTAAAAAATTTTTTATATTTATATTGTCAATATAATAGTTATTAAAAATTGATTATCAAAATTCTTTATATTTAAACAAACAGCAGAATTTTTGCGACTATAAGTTAAAAAAAGTGAATTTATTTCAATGAGTAAACTCGTTCTTGAGATACTGTATATTTTCGAGGAACTCAAGGATACAAACAAATTAAGATGTGCTTTTTTGTCTGTCTGTTAAACTAGATGAAAGAGAGTTGACACATGGATGGTTAGCTAGTTTTAGTTGCGACAGAGCTTTCTTTAACAGCTGTTGATTAAATTGTGATTACTCTAAAAATGTTTGGTTGGGCAACGAAATTTGACAGTCGAAAGTCTAAAAACCCCATAAATTTTAAAACTAATCTATGTGTTTGGTAAAGGACATTATTTATATAAAAATATATATATTTGTAATATAATTCAGACTCATAAGTACGTATACTAAACCGTCTCAATTTTGACCAGGCAAGGGCATTTGTATAGAAAATAATCCGTTCCTTATAGATACTATATTTTTGATAAATTGGATAATTACTTGTTTAGCATAAGTTCCCACTAGTCAGTGATCTGCCAACATCGCCATGAAATTTTCCACTTTGATCCTAGCTCTACTCAGTGGATCGTTTTAATCGATTAATTGTAGATTGGCTATATTAGTTTAGATTTTCGTAACCTAATGTTGGTTTTCCATCTAGAGTTCGATTTATACGTTTTGCAAATAGATTTTAAAGATTTTAATTGAATGACCAAAATCATAAAAATCGTAAATAATTCATTTTCCTTATATATATAAAATAAAAGTGTTATATTTCATTTAATTCGATTTAGATCTGTATATAGTTGTGATACGAACTAAAATTTCTAATTTTTGCTTTTATAGGATATACTAAAATTTAATGTTTCTTGAAAATTTTAAACTTTTAACTTTATTACCACCCCATATTTTTAAATTGTTCGGCTAGAATCATAATTATTTATAAAAAAACTAGGGCACACGCTTTCCGCAGTCCTTCTAATATCAATATTACCGCAGCTTCTGACTGTTGGAGTAATTTGTACGGACTATATAGTGGATGTATCAAAATATTCCAGCCAAAGTCCAGCTAAATAAAAAAAAAAAAGACAATTTTTCTCCGAGATTGCAATGTTTGGAATTGAAATTTTAATCTTATGCATGCATTCAAACTATTTGATGAAGCATATTTGTTTCTACGACACAAGAATCTCAAAAAGTTAGTCTTAAACTACTTTGACTAACAATCGGTAGATATTGTTAAAATCTATTTTCTATTATGTATGTGAAATCACAACACAACGTTATCACAGCACCTAACAAATAGTTTTTGTGATATAAGTAGTTTCACAATTCCTATAGCTGATTAAGAACTGTAGTAAACTGCAGTACTAGATACGTCTACGGCCTTAAACGGTTTGGTCATCTAACAATGGAACAAAGCTGGAATTGTGATATTGCAATATTTGCACAACATCTTTATGTTAGATTTGTTTCATATTGCTTGTAAATACGGAAAACTTTGACATGCCTTAACTTTTTTGAATAATTTATCTATAGTTGCCTGAATTAGATCAAAAGACCATACTTAGTCATACGTTATAATTGAATCGTAAAAGGAGTATGGTATCTATGAAATCACATATGTGAACTTTATGCTAGGATTTTTTAATTGATTTTGTCGGCGGTAGATTACAATTGTGTCAGTTCCCTTAATTACTGTACTCTTAATACTCTAGCACTAAAAATGGGTGTTGGTACTATTGTTCAAGCAAACGATAGGTTGCAATAGTAAAATATTTTTAATATTGAACATGATATATGTAAGTTATTCACATTATTTCTTCCTATTGCATTGTATATCACAAATTCAATTTGTTGCGCTTAAATGCAAAATACTGAACTTAATAAACTGCATGAATCACCAACTTTCGCCGGAGAATATTATCATTGTCAAAGAAAGATATATGTATATATTTTTTTTGTACTCATAGAACACCTATTGATTTTTTGATTTCTTTGTCTAAGGAAATAACTTCAAATATTATATTTAATTACATTTAGTTAAATATTCATAATATATTATTTATTTTTATTGTTTTACGTTTTATGCATAGACACAAAATATTATAGATTTACAATCATATAGAATATTATTGTCGTATCAATAATAGATTTCAATTTAATGTTGAAATTTAAATAATATTTTAGAACAGAAGCCGCTCGTCTATTGCAATTCTAAAATGTATACCACGTTTCTTAATATAGGATAAATTTTTCAGATTTTCTACAGCTAATTTCTTTGTCCTTTTTTCTACAGGACGCCTATAACTGCAATACTTCTTACTTAAAAAATTTTGTATACTTACACTGCAAATCCGTTGTAACAATATCTATTATAATGTTATATATATTGAATAAAATTTTTAAATAAAAAAATTTGGTTAGCATTTTCTCTTGACGATATCATTAGTACCCTGATACTCATTATCATTGTTTTCCTTATTTCTTCTATAAACTTCCATTAAAGAATTTACCAATTCTGGGGAAGAGAAGCTTTCTCGTTATGGTGGTACTGTGATAGAAACATTGAGTGACATTTGTTTGCCGCTGTTGGGGACTCACCTCAGGACATAGCTTTAGTTGATCTTGCGGGAATAATGGTATTCAGTGCTTAGTATATATCATTTAACGAAATATTATTGGTACAATTAGGTTTTTAATTTTTCCTTGAATATTCCTCTCTCACCGAGAGACTTACGTCCCACAAGATTATAATTAAAGATTTTAAATGTCAATGTAAATTGACATATGGTATAGTTTAAGTGAAAGTTGAAAGTTACTTCTTTGAAAAATTAACGCATTTCTTTAAATGAGGAGCTAAATAAAATGGTGTTTTGCGTAGCACTACAAGGATTGGATCCAAAAATTAGAGAAGCATTTAGAGAAATTACACTGAAACATAAAGCCTTAGTTACAATTCAAAATACGTCTTCCATAACTATTTTGCAATTTTTTTTAACAAAATTTTATACAATTAAAAATTTATTTGCTAGCAAAAGTTTAATAAGTCAGAGGTAAAGCAATCATTATTAACTTTTTGAGTCAGCAATATATTCGCTGATATAAGTTGACATTATCTGTCAGTAGCACCATTTCCGCAAGTTAGTTCTACCCGCGTTCTTCACAAAATATATTTATCTAACCGCGTTGTTACTCATTGTCTATTTGGTGAAATTTCACGATGAAGTCTAAGATAACGCAAGTTCCAGGTTGTACTCGTATACTATATCTTATTATTTTATATACTATAATATATTTAATACCTATATTGATCTTGTGTTTTATTTTTTTGTCAAACACAGTTAAAAGTGTACCATGCCGTAATGGAAGATGTTATATCAAATGTTCGAGATGCATTCCTCGATGATGGTGTAGACGAACAGGTGCTACAAGAAATGAAACAGATATGGCGTAACAAATTAATGTCAAGTAAAGCTGTTGAGATAAATCCTGAACAATCAGAACCGCAGCCACCACAAATTATAGTCAACAATCCAAAGGTAAGCAGTATGTATAAGATGGTTATACCACATATACCAGTGTACGGTTGTAAGATATAGCCTAAGTACATATACAGTCTGTGTATATTTACCTATGGTGTATGTTGAAGTACATTTGGTTGTTGTGTTTGTCCTTGATGGTATAAGCTGTCCTGGGAGATCTAAGTATTTACGGAGGAACTAACAAAAGTTTGCTTAGTTGGCAACGTAAAATAGATTTTTGACAAATCAAAAAATACCAGCGATTTGGTGAATTTTTTCGATATTTCATTTAAAGTTTGAAAACAGCAAAATGAATTTTATTACAAATTTAATGACAAAAAGTACAAATTACACCGCCATCGCAGCATCATCGCCATCATATTACCATTCTTGATGTTCATGACTGCCAAATAGCATGTGGAAAGAATATAGTGCATTCTGAATGCCGCAAAAGTGATTTCAGATATATTAGGCTGAATATTTTTCTGTGAAGGATGAATCTCACAATGGTCACCTAATATATTTAATTGGTGATGGAATGAAGTTCAAAATTAATAACGACATAAGATCGGCTCAGGAACTGATTGCTAATGAATTTGACTTAAACGCTATGGCTTTGCAGCGAATATTAAGAAATGGTTTTGGATAAATAAAGAAATTTTCATAATGAACTCCTCAGAGATTTTCAGATATGAAAATATATAAAATTTTCTGTAATAATTTAAAAGTATAGTGTGCAGTACCTTCTATAAAATTGTAACAGAAGATGAAGTTGGATTTTATCAATCAATGGTATGAGGCCCAGAAGTTGTTAATTCACTCGTTAAAACAAGGCAATAAAAGTCCGTAATGAATGCAATAATGCAATTTACTTCATGAAAGGGAAAGTTATAGATAGTCTGTGTACTTCAAGCAATTTTAAAGCCACTGTGAAACAAACAAAAAATACGAGAACAAATTAAAAGACGATCAATTCGATCAATTTTCAGAAACCAACAGAATTTTTTTATTAAAATCGAAAATAGTTCATACAATTTTAGGGTTGCCGAGTGCAACAAAAATAAAAAGTATTAAAAAAAAATTAAGTTAGGATTATCAAACAATATAAAGTACAATAAATATAATTTGTGAAATATATAAATTAATAATAATTATTTCACGATCATTCTCACCCCGTTGGAACGATCGCGTTCCAAGAGAGATCATTTACAAGCAAGATACAGAGCTTTGTCACGGCACGTCTGAAAACACCATTTTTGATACGTACTACCGCAACACGTACGACACCATCAGGACCAGGTATAATTTCGATAACTCTACCGAGTGACCAGCGCAGTGGTGGGAGATTATATCTTTTAAAAGAACTATTGCACCGAGAGACATATTAGGAGTGGAGCTTCGCCATTTTGTTACTCGGTGCTCCAACGTTTCCAAAAATTTGTTGTACTCGGTGCTTCAGCATTTCCAAAAATTTGTTGATCAAGTCGATTAAAATTCAAGATTGTAGTGTCAGGCTCAATGATAGATGTTAATGGAGTACCAATTAGAAAGTGGGCAGGTGTGAGAACATCAAGATCTTTAAGACATTCTGAAATTTTTGCGGTGCCAAAATTTAACTTGCTGAGCTTAGAAGACGTTTCTTCTCAAAAACATCGTGAGCAGTTACAACATCAATGTCTTAGCGACAGTATTGAATGGAAGTTTATACCTTCTGGATCGCCACATTTCAGTTTCCTGTGAGAATCTGCCATAAAAACAGCGAAATGGCACTTCTGCCGAGCAATTGGCCTTACAATCTTTAATTTTGATGAACTACGCACATTGGTTTGTCAAATTGCTGCCATCATTAACTCTTGTCCGCTCTTCCCACTTTCAGAATGTCCTGAAGATCTTGTTGTTCTCACACTTGCCCACTTTCTAATTTATAACCCCAACATAATTTTTTTTAATACTTTTTATTTTTGTTGCACTTGGCAACCCCAAAATTGTGTGAATTACTTTTGAATTTAATAAAGAAATTCTGTTGATTTCTGACACTTGACCGAGTCGGTTGTCTTTCTTTTAATTTGTTTTCTTTTTGTTTGGTAGTGGCTTCAAAAACGCTTCAACTCCCAACAGACAGTATTCCTCGAAAGATTGGAGAGACTCTAACTGTCAAAGGATATACTGAAACGTACTTATCACAAGTTCTCGAAAATTGATTGAGAAACCAAAACAAAAAGAGCTGTGAGATACTTTTTGATCCCGACCACACGCAAGTTAAAACTGCTAAAAAAAACAACTTTATTGAGCTCACCAGCACACCATACTCCCCAAATATAGCGTCGCGTGAGTTCGAGTTGTTCCAAACATAAAAAGCATATGAAGAAAAGGATCTTCGACAATTGTGAGGCATGATTTTGGGTATGGTTTTCTTAGAGAGTGGATCTACCGATTTCAAAAATGTTGAAAAGCAAGAAATGATGATGTTCCAAGTTATGAAAAACCAGTTATTTTTGACATTTTTTTTTTTTTGAAGATGACTAAGCGAACTTTTGTTAATCCTCTTGTAAGTGGAAAAATTGAAAGGAAAACATTATTGATTATATTTAATAATTGTTTTTCATGTTTTTATTTATTTTTAATTTTTGAAATGCTTCGTGTTGTCCAATGTGCTGCTGTCGTAAAATAAATGCTGTTTATGTACAAAACCAACAACAATTTGATGCTGATCAAACGATAAACAATAAACAAATTTTGCATTATAAATTGCATCGCATATGTTCTTTACTTTAACTATGTCATCACCTTCATCGCTTATACTACAAACATATTTTATTACCAATTATTAAATTATTTTGCATTCGAATGGGCATTTGTAAACGTCATTTTGCAAACGCTGGTGGATGCAGCCATCAAAGGTAATTAAATATTGTTAATTAATTATTATTTATATCAACACGAATTTCATTAAAAACAACACATGTGTGCATGATTTTTATTCGATCGTTCAGTATGTCTGAGTGAACTCAGCAGATAACTTATAACTCCATTAAAAATTGTATTGAGCATATCGTTAATCGAGTTAGGGAGCTCAGGGCTCGGTGCTGTAATTTAAACATAAATAGGTTAAATGTACTTAACCAACCCAATTATGCTATAACTTCTGGGAGAAAGTGCCATCGAATGCTTGTGCTTTCATTAAACTCGTCTAAAGAGTTTGAAAATAGAGTATGTTCTTCCAAAACAAGTAGAAGGCGAAAGAAGTGGGCATTTAGTATATCTATCTGCAGAAAATCCAATATGTTTACAGTTATAAATTTTAAAGGCATCACAGCCGATCGTCTTAGAAAATGAAGGCGCATTTAAAAACGTGAATTTTTCTGTGTAAATTACTCGTTTTTGAATTTCCAAACTAGATTCTGAGATTTGATCCACATATACAAAGAATAGCAAGCGATTTTTTCTGCCTTATTTAAAATATACCTATATAGACTGAGTTTAGAATTTAGATTTTTTTACTGGATGTTTTCATTAACTTAACTCCAATCTAGAAACTTAAAATTGATGCTTTCTGCGGTGTGTGTAAAGTGTTATTTCATTCACGTCATCGGTTTTTTGTACTTCTATTAAAAATTCCGAACTTTAGGATTGGTTGTAGTTCAGTCCCTACAGATATTTAACTTCTTTTTAACTATTGAGAACAATATTTTATTTTTACATGAGTCCAGCATACACTTGCTTCAACCATAGAAAATACTCTCTCTATTCTGTCCTACCATCGCTATTTTACTGCTGTTATTCTAAACCTTTTATCTGAATTTGTAAAAACTGAAACGAGTGTTTTAAATATTTTGCTCTTAAGTCACAGGATTGTACTCGAATATATTTTCGTCGAAGTTTTGTATCAGTTCACTAACTAAAATGTAAGACGATTAGAGGATAATACCAAGGAAGGGTTATTTAACGGCTCACTAAATTAATAGTAATAACAGTTAAGAGGATCGTGCCAAAGAAGGGTTTTTTAACGGTTCACTAAATTAATTATAAAACCAGTTACAGGACTCAGCCTCCCACTTTTTATCGAAGTTTTGTAACAGTTCACTATTTTGATTATAATTAGAACAGATTTTTTTAGATACACATTCATTTGGGACTCTTTTTCAAATTGTCTGCGTTACAAAACTTAACTAGTCGTGTTTTAGACACAAATATAATCTGTCATTACTAGTGAGAACTTATTTATATTTGACTTCACAATATAAAAAATACTCGTCTATATAATTGGACCCTAAAATAAAAACCGAAGACCATCCATGCAATAGCTTGCGTGATGTTTACGAAATCTTCGAATCCATGCTTTTCTTCATCACGGTCATGTTTTTGAACAATTTTAGGGTGTTTCAGAAAAACAAACTATTTAATTATCTAGCGTAAGCACATACTTATTATATAGCTAAAATTGTTCTGAACATTATCGACACTTGACTAATAATAATAGTGGGCTTATAATAATGCTGTTCTATACTTAAGAAATAAATTTTGTTCCATTTGATAGCCTTCAAAATTCAAAAAACTGTTCGCTACTTCGAAATGAATTATCTATACCATAATGTACATTTAAATCGCATGGACCAGATAGTTAGTTAACTGTATTAAGAGGAATCATTTCTGGAGGATATGATTCTAGATGCTTTTATAACACTTCGTTCAATAATGTTTGTGACTAACTAATTAAAACACATTTTTTTGCCAAAATTCGTTTTTATTCATCAACATAGTCCCCTTTTAGGGAGATACAATCATTCCAACGCTTTTGCAATCCTTCGATACCGCCTTTGTAAAACGATTTTTCTTTGCCTTCAAAATAGGCGTTAGTTTCGGTGATTATTTCATCATTTGAGCCAAATCTCTTACCACGGAGCATCTTTTTGAGGTCTGCGAAGAGCCAGTAGTCGCTGGGGGCCAAATCTGGAGAATACGGTGGGTGCGGCAGCAATTTGTAGCCCAATTCGTTCAATTTTGCCATCGTTTTCATCGACTTGTGACACTGTGCATTGTCTTGGTGGAACAAAACTGTTTTCTTCGCCATATGAGGCCGTTTCTTTGCGATTTCGTCTTTCAAACACTCCAATAACGCTATATAATAGTCGCTGTTGATGGTCTTCCCCTTCTGGAGATAGTCGATGAATATTATTCCATGCGTATCCCAAAATACAGGCGCCATAACCTTGCCAGCCAACTGCTGCGTCTTTGGTCGCTTTGGGCGGCTTTCACCGGCTGCATGCCACTCAGCAGACTGCCGATTTGACTCTGGAGTGAAATGGTGGATCCATGTTTCATCCATCGTGATGTACCGACGCAAAAACTCCGACTTATTGCGCGCAAGCATGTCCAAACAGCTCTTTGAATCATCGATTCGTTCTTGTTTTTGCTCCGGTGTGAGCAAATGCGGCACCCATTTGGAAAACATCTTTTTCATACCCAAATGTTCGTGTATTATGGTGTGAACACTGCCTGCTGATATCTGTAGAATGTCAGCAATCTCCCTCACTTTCACTTTACGGTCGGACATAATGATTTTCAGTGTTTTTTCAACGTTTTCCGGAATAACAGCATCATTTGGCCGTCCAGTAGATGGAATGTCATCGGTGTCTGTACGACCACGTTTGAATTCGGCATACCAATAACAAATGCTTCTTTTTGATGGAGCAGAGTCCGAATAATGTTTTTCAAGCTATTCCTGGCATTGAACAGTATTTTTTTTCATTAAAAAACAATGATAAATCAGCACACGGAATTGCTTTGAATTCATTTTTTTTTTTGAAAACTCAAAAGTAGCGTCACTTAAAGCACTGTAACTTATAAACAAATGGTTGGATTAACATATGATTTTGACAGTAAGCCTAAAAAGGTTCCCACTTTCGAAAAAAAAATATTTATTTAGTATTAGTGCCGCCATCTATGTGTCAGTCACACACATTATTGAACGAAGTGTTAAATAAAAAATACTCATTACAAACAAATACATTAATCACTTGGGCATTATTGCATGTTGCACTTTAATTTTCAGTTGTGTGCAATGTTATTGGAATTTATATGAACATTTTTTTAATAATGTTTTTACATTTACTAGGCCTCTGCGGCTAAAGCTAAAAGACAAGCAGCTATTGCTGCAGCTGCTCAACATAACAATTCTTCAGCAATAGCAACAACTAATTCTGCAACCACAAATTTGGATATAAAACCAGGTATTGCCGGCAATGCTGGATCAACAGGAGGCGCAACAGTCGGATTGACTAATTCGTCTGGAAATAGTATATCAGGTATGATCAACGGTACAAATAATAAAAATGATTCGAATCCAACAGCATTGCAAACAAATTCTGTTGGTGCAACGATTTTGCAACAACAGCAACAAAAAATAAATGTACCTCAGACATCACATCTAACGAATGGTCCTTTAACAGCACAACAACAAACATCAGCCACTGGTCCCTTGCCAATTGTCGCCGCACTAGATCCATGTCGAATTATGCCCGTTAATGTAAGTTTAGTGCATATAACAATCATTTTATATTTTTTAATTATGAAAGCATATTATTTTTAAATTTGTTTTTTGTAAATTTGTTTTCTTCCAGATTACTTTACCTGCTCAACCCGGAACCCATAACACGGAACCGCGCGTACTTACTATACATGTGCCAGCCTCAGCCTTGCAAGAAAACCAACTTACACAAATCTTAACTGCGCAGCTAATATCATCTATTATATCTTTGCCAACAACATTGGCTAATTCTGTGCTACAACAACACGTTACAGCGGCGCTACAAAATCTTAGTATACAGAGTAAGTAGTTTCCTTATAATAGTCAATTTATAATCTTATTTATTTATTTAAGCATATTGAATTTAAAAACCTTTCACTATTAATACATCATAACAGTATAAGACCATTTACTACAAATTTGATGTAACACCAAAATTTATGGACTCTAGTCTATAATTAAATTACATTCCTAAAGTATATTTACTATTCTTTAAAGTAACAAAAATAGATTCCAAAATCATATATTTGTTAAGAAATATTAATTCTTCTATCTTCCTTGTTTTATTACTACATTTTTACGCATTCAACTAAATCGTAAAATATCGATATATAGCCCGTTATAAAGGATGGGTTTTATCTGGCACCTCTGTGTGTGTAATTTTCTTCAGTTATTTTGATAACTATTTGTTTATCTAAACAGGATTTGTGTGCTAAAATATACAGTTTTATATTGGAAGCAAACTTCTTAGCTTTCTATAATAGAGTGGGCGTCGAATATACTAAATACCCAGTTTAAGAAATGTCCAATGTTGTCGCAAAATAACCACTGTTCATGACACTGTTCGAGACCTCGTTAGGATCACAGGGACATTCTCAACACACTTTCGGCATAAATCTTTTAAAGACGAAAAACGTCGGCCTCCTGTAGCAAAAACGGTGGTCCTTATCCAATTGCAGTCATAGTATAACTTCGTAAAAAACTGTTATTTGTGTTAATACGATGTCATACCTTCTTTGCTGGATTATAATTTCTCTCTCCATATACTGACGAGGAATTAAAAATAATTAGAAGTTATTATAATAACAAACTCACCTAAATTGTTATTATATTTTTTCAGGTCAGAAGTTACTCCATTTTGAAATAAGGTGACTTCTTCATAATAAAATATTTGACGGAACTGTTTACATTTTTGGTGACAGCCAATCGGCAATTATGCCCGTGCTGGTGTCTATGCAATACTGAACCTTACATTATCGATACTGATAATGTAATACCTGAACTTGATTTGAAGTGTCGTAAATTTTATGATGAGATGTCAATATATTTTACGTCTAATCGTTTTCTTCCTATACGGATATTCCTGGCAACTAAGAAGCTTATGAGTTGCCCAGAAGGAGCACACAACGTCCTTACTGCTTTCAAAAGATTTTTGCACAATTATTCGATGGAAATCCGATTCAACATACAATCTTAATATACCGTGTTGCAACTTTAAGAAATTGCCATACAATACTTTGGTGCATATCGTAGTGAACATTTTCTGACCGCTTTTTTTAAATATATTGTTTCTCGTTTTGTATTTTGTACATGACATCTTTTACATTTATGATAGAAAAGTACGTCCAGTTTAAAATAATTTAGTCATCTAAAAAAATTAGTAATGCTTCTTCATACCGATTCAGATTGGAATCAAGTGTTATTTTTTTCTTAGCGTTTCTCATAACAACGTTTCTACTTTCTTTTGTGTCTTCTTCTATTTATTACTGCATCCTTTATGACTCCACAAATTAACATTTGCTTATGTGTTTTTTGCCCTTTGTTACCTTATTTCATTTAACTTATTTTTTATTTTTAGAGTTTAATCCATCAAAACAACTTGATGGTCAACTGGTGGATACTACAGATGAAGAGGAAAGCGATGTTAGTGATGACAATATTGATGAAGACGATGAGGATATTGATAAGGATGAAGACGAAGATATAGAAAATGAAGATGGAGCTGAAGAAGAACCACTTAACAGCGGAGATGATGTGAGTGATGAGGACTCCACTGATCTTTTCGATACTGATAATGTCATTGTTTGTCAATACGATAAGGTAATTAAACAAATTATATATATGATATGGATAATATATATTTCATACATTTTAATATTTTATGTAGATAACACGTTCGCGTAATAAATGGAAATTCTACCTTAAAGATGGTATTATGAATATAGCTGGGAAGGATTATGTTTTTCAAAAATCAAACGGTGATGCGGAATGGTAACGTTTGTAATCTCGCGAAAATCTGCTTTTTTATATTATATTATTTTGTATAAGCATTTTTCTTTTTCTTATTCTTATAACTGAGTTTATTTATATTAAGCTTCTAATACGTATTCTTATAACTGCGTTTATTTTAATTCCCACTTATTTTTGTATTTAAATTGCGAAAAATAATATAATCAATCCATTGTTTTAAATTTAGGGTACATTTTGTGACGCAGACAAATTCGCCAATTTCTAAATTTTCAAGATTAGATTAATATTTACTTCGCGTTATTGACATTAAAACTATGGATGTTATAAGATAAACATGTATATATAGAACTATAATAATAAAATGTAACAATATTAAAAAATATTATATATAAAAATAAAAAAATATTTTACTTACAATAAAAGCGATTTTTTGATATTGTCGTGAATATCCAATGAAGATTTGGTGTTAATTGCATCATTGAGGACAGGTCTGTCACACATTATGTATGAAAGAATATAATATCTATTATCTTTTAATAAGAAAATTATACATTTTTAAAAACAATTTCTTTATACATACATTCCTATCCGAATCAATTTCATGTGTTAAAAATATATACCCTTTGTTTTACTTATTGAATTCTTTAATATGCGTACATACTTTTTACATATATATTATAATTCTATAATTTTTACTTATTTCTAAATTCCAAAATATTTACTATATATAATTAATTTTTTTATAATTTGTATTTGAACCCTTATTATAAATTTATATTTTAGAAACATTGTTTTTTTTCTTAATATTTAAGAATATATAAAAAATTGTGTTGTGAATTTATAAGTTTTTGTTTTATTGTTTTATTACAATTCAATTTAAATAAAAAAAAATTATTTTAGATATAAAACATTTAACAACGTCCATAATAATAGAGTACGGATTTTAAAAGTATAGTCAATTTAGATAGTTTTTTATATTGTAATTAATTTTATATGTTTTGCAATGTAAGGATTTTTTTTGTGATTTTTGTTTTTGTTTTAATATTTGAAAATGTACAAAACAAATTGAATTTTATAAATCATGCTTTAATCTAATCTTAGACTATACAGTTAATTCATCATAATTTTTTTATATTATATTTTAAATTTTAATTTGATATACTGCAATGAAATTTGTGTGGCAATAATTTGTTGAAAATTAGTTCGAAAAACAATACATAATATTTAATTAAGTTCAGGTTATAGTTTAAAATTTACACAATAAAAATGTAGCTAAGCCTTAGTCTGTGACTTCTAAAATAAATACACATGTCACTGTCAAACTATTAATATATTAATTCGTATTAGCGAATTTTATATTTGCTTATTGCATTTAAATATTACGTTTTAAAGTCAAAAGAATTATTTGCTTTACTGCTAACGCTTGTAGCGACTGACACAATGAAAGCATTTATCATTATGGATTGTTTCTGTTATATGTAGATTTTTGCATTAAATTTGATTGTGTGTGAATGTGAGAGATGTTAAAACAATTGCTAGATTAGCTTGTCAAGAGCGCAATGTTTATCTCCTTGACCATTTTAACGCGATGTAACATTTTCTGTAATGATTCTTTACTAAGGGCTTGCGTTGAATACCAGACAGGTGAGTCCGGCACACAGGAACGTTCTGGTTGCAAATAAAAGACATCATTACGAGTTTTAACGCTTTCAGGACTGTAAAAATAATTATTTCGTATTACTTGTAGAAATTTCAATTATTACATTAAGAAAATCCTTACCATTTTGAAAGATAAAATTCGTATAAACGAACAGGGCAACGTAGAGGATTTTCTTCGTTCTCTTGCTGTTCATACACTTTCTTTTTACGAGGATTAGCTTCTGTAATATAAAATAATATACAAAAGATTAGAAAATTATAACATTTTGTTAATTTATATATACATTTAATAATCTTGTTTTTTGTTTGTATCAATCCTAAACCGTTGAATCGATCTGCATGATATTAATACTACGTAATCTCTACAGAAATGGGTTTTTAACATGTGGATGATCCATACCAAATACCATATCAAATAAATGTTTAAATCAAATTACTAGCAAAACCGCTGAATCAAACTGTATGATATACTAGATAAGGAGGAACACATAGTCCAAAATTTTTATTTAGAGTTAATATCTGGGATTACCATCATTGAAAAATTTATTAATTTATAACTTTTCAAAGTCAGTACATTGAAAACCCGCCAGGTGATATATAGATGAAAGTTCTTGAATTGAATTGAATACTTAATTACGTTAAATATTATTTTTGGGTGTAATCGCACAAATTGTCAAGTTTAAGTTTTATTACATTTACCAGGAGCACCATTGGTGAAGATCATTGTTAAATGATATAGGTAGCATGAATGTATAGAGAATTAACTAATAATCATCATTGATTTTAAACCAGCTGTCATCGCATGTTACAGGATTACCATTCTTACCATTCTATTTTCTGTCAAAAAAATATCTTGTATCACACAGATAAACATCCATTGCGCTACAGTTCGTAAGTCCTGGTTTCATATAACTTACGTTAAGTCTTTTCTTCGTATCATATTAAGTCAAGTATCAGCAAGAACCTCCAAGTATCAATCCTCCAAACAATATATTCCAGGTCCCAGTCTAAAATTTTTGAAGGATGTAAAATGTCCCTCACACCCTGCAAGCCCTGTATGAACATAGTCATATGGTAAACAGTTCCTTGTGACGCATAAATATCTACGCCCCAAATATATAGCCCACCGCAGCTTTACTTTCATGTTCAAGTGCATATACAAATTTATTGATTTATGGCATTAACCATAAGATTAAGGTGACCATCTTCATCTTCCCCTTTACCTTAACACTCTTTCCATATACTATCTAAATGTGTAAGTTTAATCATCATTACGTGCGATTAATTTTGAAATTATGTGGGTGTTGAGAGTTAACTGAAATTAGTAATATATGCGAAAATAGTGTCACACAGAAGTGGCAATGGAAGACACTAAACTGAATTCGGATCAAAACCAAGAAAGTCTAAAATTTTAATAGAACACGCGTGAATCATCGATTACTTGTATTGCATTTTTGTGCAGACGAACCTAAGGTTAGTTGATGTGCTATTTTTATACTTATGATATATTAATACATGATACACTTGCAACATAGGCACTAGATTGACATTCGGTACTATGACATCAGTAGTAGTAAAGTAGTATTGATGGCATATAAAATGTGACTTCTTATAGTTGGAGACTGATCTTAAATCAGATTGGAGGTACTTATGTGAAAAAACAGTCTCGAGTCTAATCATTAAAAGGCTTATAAAATGATGGATAACTTATAGATTAGCATATGATGATGATAATGATTGACGATAATGAGAAGAAAAATGCTATATATTTGATGTGACTCGAAAGGTATCATGCAATATGATTCACTTCTGCCTGACCGAACGATGGATTGTAATCTATATTGATAACAATTTATGCGACTAAAGATGGAAATCGAAAAAAGGGTCCTTGGTTAAGCAATTTTGATGCATTCACTGTCTTTTCTTGCTGGCGTTAACTTGAAAAAGAGCTGTACCATATTTATTGGCACTTATTAAATTTTTTTTTTTTATAACAAAAAAATAATGATTCGAGTCGAAAAATAGCAAAAGGTAGTACAAAAAAAAAAAAAAGAGACAATGCACTGAATAGTATTTAATAGAAGTAGAAGTAATATTTGATTGTGCCGATGTTGACCATTAAACTTGATTATTACAACTCTTAGATCAACTATTGTTTCGTATACTACCTTACATAACTAAAAGTCTTCAGAACTGACTTAAATTAGATCTGATTTAAATTAGATACCACGTATAAGAAGTAACAGTACTGTATTAATATGTTAACAAAATTAATAGTAAAGTAGTTGGCCACCAAAAAAATAGAAATGTTTATTACTTACCAAGTCCAGCTTGCGGCGGATAAAAACGTAGAAGGACATTACGTGTGCCTGGTGCTTTGGTAGCTTGCGCCGAACGCTTCCAATGCTTCATGATATGCGAAAATGATAATTGCATGTGCTCCTCAACAGTCTAAAAATAATAGTTCGTCGTATTTTATATAGTTTCTACAAATTAATTGAAAATTACTTACAGTCAAATTAAAGTGTTTTGTATTGAAAAACATCAAAGTACTGAGCAGAACATGTGGAGAATGTGCCCCCAATTGCTTGCATTCCCACAAATGTTCTTCTTCAACACGTGTAACAATGTATTCTGTTAAAGAAAATTGAATTTTTTGTAATAAAATTAAAATAAAATGCTGTGGATTCTATATATAAAAGTAAAGGCTATATGATAATAGATGCATAATATCTGTTAAGACCAGAAGTATTCTTTTAGGACTACGTAATCAGTTTCAATTATTGTCTAAAAAAAAAAAATGTATATATATATAGAAAGAAGTATATATAATAAAATTTTTATAACTCATTTGCAATTTCTCTAACTCTTTGCAATATTTTGGTCCGTTCATCTTAAAGGCGTTAACCTCTACAATCCGAATAATACACATTCTTCACCTGAGAGGTAACCCTTATCTTTACAAGTCGAAGTTTGAAAGTCGACCTCTACAAACTGAAATTAATGTCTAATGTCAGTGATTAATTTATTTTCGAGAATAACGCAATTACATACTTGCAAAATCTCTTCAATTATAAGAAGATGTTATTACTATTCACCAATAATGGAGTATAAATATTTACTTTTGACAATATATATTTATTCAAAAGTTGAGATTTAATAATAATTAAACTAAACCCTATGATTTCATTTTTTTCCTTAACCTCCATAACACGAAAAGTTGAATTATAGAAATTTTACTGAAATTATTTTTGCTATTCTCCCAATTCCAAACCCAGCCCATGATCTGTACATTATTTTAAATAAAAATTCTCGTCCGATAACTTAACAGATTTTGCGATAAATTAATGCCTTTGCTTTTAAATATCTTTAACAAAGTCCCATACTTACGTGAATCATTATACAAAACCGAAAACTTTCTTGCAACTTCATCTAAGCAATCAGTGAAGCGTTCGTAGTACGGATCTGTAAATATGTTGTCGATACGCCCATTTTCGTACAGATACTGTTGTATACCTGAAATGAAAAAAAATTAATGAGAATTATATTAGTGTTTATTTACTTTGTTATATAATTAATTTCTATTAAAATAAATCCAATAAATCTATTTCAAGTTATCGCAATAAAGCTAAATTGACCTTCATTATTTGTCAATAATAACCCACAAACTTGTTAGACTTTGCCACAGTTGTTATAAT